TTAAACCCCCACATGTGCATTGTAGCCGCTGTTTAGCATAATGCTAGAGAACAGTTTCTCTTCACATTCATACTGCACTTGGCATTTCTGGTCTGTTTTCTGACCAATGCTTGAGACAACTTTCACGGTTGATAAAGCTTTTACAGTTAAAGGTTGCCATATCACAATGAAACCCTGTTTGTCTATGAGATTCTTCATGACAGTGAGAAAAAAAACCCAGTAAAAATATAACCACGGAAGCCTTGAAATCAAACAGTCGGGGATTGTGATGTCACTTGAATGGCCTGTCTTTTTTTTTTTAAGCCCCCGAAGGGGATTTTTTTTTTTTTTTTTTTCAAAACACACAAACTACAAAGAAAAAAAGGGGGGGGAAAGGGGAACTACATATACAGGATAAAGTAAAAGTACCCACAACTACCTAAAAACCCAAGAGAGGAGATCTTCATTAGCTTACTCACAATAAAACATTCCTTCGTTTAAACATAAAACAAACTGAGTCAATCATTAATACATTTTCTTTTTTCTAACTTTTACAATTCACTGTCTAAAGACAACATCCCCAAGTCTTCTATTTTCATCTTCTTTCCCGAGGCACTGTTCAGAGTCCTTCAGCCTCTTTCTCTATTTATCGTCTTTTTCATCGCTTGTAAGGACTTTTTGGAGCAGCCGCCCCCTTCTTGTCCAGAGAGTCCTCTCCAGAAGAACCAGAGTCCAGCTCGCCACTAGACTTGCTGTCGAATGGCCTGTCTTTTGATAGCTCATGCTTTGTGCCCCTGGAAACACACATAGCTTTTTTACTGGGGAAAGGGAGGGTCTGCACACACAGAGATGGATTGCATAGTTGCCATGGGCAAGGACCCAGGTCAGCCCTTGGATCCCCATTTAAAAGAGCCATGGGTCAGAGACTGGGAAAGGAGATATCCTTGCCTGGAGACCTTGGGGAGCTGCTGCCAGCCTAGTCAGACAGTACTGTCCTAGGCTGCCCTGTGAGGCTAAGCCTGAAGGTATTAGGCAACTTTATGCACTTCACTTTTCTGTGCTGTCCCACCTGACTTCAATAGTTTTATTATTGTAAAGTGGCGTGTTTGTGACTGACCCTCACCTGGATCGCCCAGGCTAGCCTGATCTCATCAGATCTTGGAAGCTTGGCCCTGGCTAATCTTTGGAGGGGAGACCTTCCAAGGAATTACTAAGGCAGGCAATGGCAAACGATGTCTGAATGTCTCTTGCCTTGAAATCCCTACGGGGCCACCATAAATCAGTTGTAACTTGACATCAAAAAAATGTCACTGTGTTCTAGATCATTTCCCGTGAGCCAGTTTGGTGTCGTGGTTAAGTGTGTGGACTCTAATCTGGGAGAACCAGGTTTGATTCCCCACTCCTCCACTTGCACCTGGCTGGATGACCTTGGGCAAGCCGTAGTTCTGATAAGAGCTGTCCTTGAAAAAGAGCTGTTTCTGTCAGAGCTCTCTCAGCCCCGCCTGCCTCACAGGGTGTCTGTTGTGGGGAGGGGAAGGGAAGAGTTTGTAAGCCGCTCTGAGACTCCTTTGGGTAGTGAAGGGCAGGGTATAAATCCAATCTCTTTTTATTATGGTTCTGTTTGATTGTCTCCCCTCCTCAGGTGAGCCCTCCTCCACCCTATCTGATTTGCTTCAAGTGCGGTGCAAGCAACCATACATGGGCACGATTCTGTGGCACTTGCGGTGCTCACATTGAGCCTCTATATAGGCGGAGCTATGAGGACAATATCCTGTTGGGTGCTGGAGATGGCTTTGTCATTTCTGAGGTAAGTTTGCACAAGCAGAGAGCACAAGCAGAGAGCTGTCACATTTAGGACATTGGTCCATATCCTCAGATGGCATAAGCCGACATGTCTTGGGGAACATTTCAGTCCACAGTGCTTGAAGTGGCATGGCTGCTTTTAATGGTTACTAAAATATTGTATGTGGCAAATTTTGATCAAAAAGTAGTATAGAATTTTTAGACCAGCTGCCTGAGTGTACTTGGAATGTATTTTTATTTAGAAAGAAATATGCTGGATGGATTTTTTTAACTGAAAAGTGAGAGCAGCCATTCTTTATCTCTTTTTCTTAAATTAAAAATATAATTTCAGTTGGTTACAAGAGGGAATAAAAAGGTAGATTTTAAAACATCAACATAGCATCTTACTCATCAACTAACACAACCTCTGTGCACTGGAATTCTTTATCTCTAATTGGTACTGTTTTAACAGAATAATAGCTTGCAGAACTGGCAGCAACCCATTCTTCCACTGCCAACATCAAAACCTGATCCATTCAGGAGAAAAGACCAAGGAACCCAAACAGTTGGCTTGTTCTACCCATCCGGGAAATCCTTGGAGAAGAGAGAATGTGAGCTGGTCTCTGAAAAGGAAAAACAGCAGAAGATGAGCGATCGCAAGCCTCTGCTCACAGCTGTCAGTCCTGGAAGAGGTAGCAGAAAAGTTGATGATTCCCTTATCTCAAAATGAACTCTTCTTCTTAAAACTAAACTGCGACTTCTCTTTTTCTGTGTCCTCCAAGGGGAGGACGGAATCCTTGAGTCTGTTGCTCCCTCCACTTCTTCCAAAAGGCAGGGTGAATAAGTTTTGGCTTGCTTCCTTCCTGGGTCCCCTTCCAGTTCCAGCCTTGCCTTCTGTGGAGCGGAGCTGTAAAATTTCCAGAAACGTTGAAGCCTTGGGGAAAATGTGGGGGGGGGGGG